ATCTAAAACACTGGAGACGTGTCTTCCGTCTATCACAACATGATCGATCTGGTTGGTGGTTTTTCGATCCGGAGACAGCCAGGTAGCTTGATGAATCTCCTTATGCTGGAATCTAATACTACAGATAACCATATTTCGGGCCCCGGCGAAGTCGATCAGCCTCAACCCATTTGGGGATGTTTCCTCGTGGAGGCTGAATTTACCGACCATAGTGCCAGACATAACTTCTTTGCCCACCCTGGCGTTAAAGTCGCCAAGCACGATTTTGACATCGTGGCGGGGGCAGCTGTCATAAGTGCACTCCAAGCACTCATAAAAGGCATTTTTGGTTACATCGTCCTTCTCTTCCGTCGAGATGTGGGCGCAAATCAGCGATATGTTGAAGAACCTCGCTTTGATGCGGATTGTTGCTAGACGTTCACTCACCGGAGTGAATGATAGTATTCGGCGATGGAGTCTCTCTCCCGCCACGAATCCCACACCAAACTTGCGCTCCTTTATATGGCCACTGAGGAAAATGCCACAAGGACCTACTCATCTCTATCCTTGTCCCGTCCATCGCATTTCTTGGACGGCGGTGATGTCAGCCTTTATTTTTACAAGGACATCAACCAGCTGGGCAGCGGCACGTTACCAATTAACATTTTCCCTGTCCAATGTATCACATGTGATACAAAATTATTTTCTTGTACCATGTGTACAGCGTCCATGTATCATATATGAACTAATTTTTGGTTGTTTTGAAATAAGTTTATTAAATGTTTCACTGATGGTACATTGAGCGTATGCAATTCAACTTCTCAGTGACACGTTCGTGTATCATAGCTGATACAAATTTTTTGTTACCGTTATATCGCTGTCAAGATGTGTGGGATAGTCCAAAAATTCATCGATAACCACTGAAAATGCCTACAGCAATATGGGGACAGGGAACCTGTTAAGGGTCCGCACATTCCAGGTGCATGCCCTCAATTGTAGTCCTTATTTCGTTTGCCATCGCCGTCATCGAAAGGGGGGTCTCTCATCCGAGGCTGGTTGTTCCTTTTCATTGAGGATGGTTTTTTACGTGGCGGGTCCCAAACCCAGCACACAACCCTATGTAGGAGATATTTCGTCTTCTCACTTTGGTTCGCTACCCAGGGGATAATTTGTCAAAAACCGGAAGTTGTGAGCTGTTTGAGTCACATGTAAAAGAATCGTTTCTGGCCACTCCCAAGTCAATGGCGATCAGAGAACTTTCTTCACTTGCGTGAACTTCTACAAATTACTCCTTTCTCCAAATAATAATTTGTATTTACCACTACAAAATATTTTGCAAAAGTTACTTTAAACAATGTTACAACCTTGCAGCACTTGATATTGATCTTGAATTTTATTAATTTTTCATAAAAAGATATAAGTATGTACGTACATTAAAACAAATAAAAATAATAAATAAAATAAAATACACGCAAAAACTTTTTGGTAGAACTATGTACTTTAATCTGACATGGTCAATTAAACTTACACCTAGTTTGTATTCAAAATAATCAAGGCTTAAATTTAACGAAAAAACCCGTTCCACAGTGAAAGGCTTTAAGAGTTCATTTCACCGTTAGAATAACATGCCAATATATTTTGGTAAGGAAATAATAACTTTTACTCTAGTTTTAATACAAGACCTATGAAGCTCGGTAGAAAACACCGTGTAAAAACCAGAAAACTGCAATAACATTTCTTATAGCATTAAAGGTTAAAAAACATATTTGTGTTATAATACTTTCAGTGGTACATTTTGTATCGCTGATACATATGTATATATGCTTTAGTAGTCCGATTTGAAAATTTAGTAAAGAAATTCGCTTGTACAATAATCTGTGCCAAATTTTGTGAAGATACCTTGGCAAATAAAACAAATTTCTATACAAGGACTTGATTTTGATCGGTCAGCTTGAATGGCAGCTGCATGTTATAAAGCTCCGATTGATAGCAGTGTAATTGCTACAGATGAGGAGTTTAGAAAACTCTTCACTAGTCTTAAGTATAGAGTCAACGAGCTCGCTGCACAACTATCGAAGTGGATAGTCAACTAAGGAGCAGTAGATCTACTAGCAACCACTTCCATAATATCTGATGCAAATGTGGGTGCGCCTAAAATAGAAGTCTACATACTTATAAGATAACCGAACTGAATCTATTATAGTAGCTCTTATCCAGAACATTCGGGTCCCTGTTTGGATAAACCGCATACGGTTTTATAACCTATCACGAGTTGTCAAGAATAGTTGTTGGAATCTTCTAACTCTTTCAGTTCAAAACCGCCCTGTTTAGAGGTCTATAAAGTTTTTATATAATCATATTTATTTATCGAAATGTGTTCGCAAATGCTAGCTCGCTACTGCCTTAACGAAAAATATAGCCTCTAAAACGCTCGATATTATCATGCGACTAAGTCCACTTACATATGTATATTTCTAACGCAATGATTAGCACTGAATATACATATAAAGACTATTAGCGTGTGCTCAAATAGTCTGAATGGAATAGTGGCAGTAGCGAAAGCAAGAAAATTGCAATAGTAATTGGAGAAAATAGTAGAGAACGCATTTTTAGTCAATCTCTGGTTATTCAAATAATAATACCATTATTATAAGGCACTTTAAAGGATAATAAACACATATCATAACATATTATGCCCATTTAAAAGAGAACGGGTTTACTCAATACATTATGAATTAGTATAAATTTCGTTTAAGGGGTTAAATGGGTTTACGGATTTCAAAAAATCGATCGAAACTGTGTTTTTGAAGTCGGTTGGCAAGATTTCTCGAGAACTACTCAATCGATTTTCATGAAGTTTAATACAGACCTTTGAAATGCAATTCTTAAAGACTTGGACGAAGTATTCTTTTGCCTGCCAAAAATCTAATTTTCAGCTTTTTGCTTCGTCGAAGTTCTAAGTTAAAGAAGGAGTTACAGTTTCATTGTAATAAAAATACTTTTTCGGCGCATTTATTTCTTAAATATGGATAGAGTAATTTTATTCAGACCTTTTGTACATAATTGAGCACAGTTTTGACAAAATAGGGGTTTTCATGCAAAAATATGGAAGAATAAACCGGTAACAGAGCTTCCCCCCGAACAAAATTATGCTAAATAACATACGAATGGTTCGAAAAAAATTACTCAATCCATATTTAAGAAATGAATTCGCAAAAAAAGTATTTTTTTTTTTACCTTAAAACCCTAACCTCCCACTGTCCCTCTACGATTTTAATTAAAACACGTATTTTTTAACTTTAGATGATGTAAGTAAGTAAGTAAGTAGTTATACTGCCAACGCGGGCGCATCATTGTCCGAGGTGTTACCGGCATCCCAATGGCCGAGTTTAGCACATTTTTTTCCATGAATTTCTTTGTTCAAAGTGTATGTTTGTAAGAGTAAAAAATTCTAATAAAATATTTCATTTGTTTTGTGAGAAAAAAAATTTTGAAAAGGGCTGTTTTTCACCCGAGGAAATCCATCCAACCTTTTAAGTAACGATATACTAAATGCCTAAAAATAAATTCATCTCTACAACCGGTTTTCTATTTTATATTTGAAGCTAGTAATTAATTTTACAGCTTTATCAAAACTAACTACGCACTAATAAGCAGTTAAAAACTTGAATAATTAAGAACAAAAGAGCGCAAGTCAAAAATAAAACTGTGAATATTAATTTACTCTCAACATACAGAACTTTGTGCGTTAAGAACGCTGTTGAAAAAAATAAAATAAATGAATAATAATAAGAGAACAACCAAAATTATAAGCTTTTGCCAGCTGTTATGGGAGCTTTTGCCAGCTTTTTTGTGAGCTTTTGCCTACCATAAAAGTATGTGAGCATTACGTTTGGCATCTGAGAAATTTGCTTGATTAGCTGCCTACTAGTCGAGCTCGCAGTTACTTTTCGGAGAGCATGTTCGTGTATTTAATAAATGCGGTAAACGATTTCGTGTAAGAAAGTGTAGATTTTGTGTAAAAATATAATATTGTTTTTGTAAACAATATTTTTTTTAAATTTTCTGTAATTGTTTTGAATGTGTAAAAAATATACAGTAAAATGTGAGTGTAAAACTTTTAGTAAAAAATGGAGAAATTTCTACCATATGCTTATCAAAAGTATTAAATTGGAGGCAAAAAAAATTATAGGGACAATAGATCGACTAACTTCTTGAAATGATTACGTTTGGTTATTGGTATTCAGACATATTTGCTAATCAATAGCAAATAAGTAGCTCAAACACACACACAAGTTGTCAACAAATAACAAAAAGAGTGCCGGAACAGCCGGCTCTAAGCGTGGCTACGACAAGTTGAACAAATATGTATATTTATATAACATACACACATACATATGTATATGCATTAATAGATGTCTGCACATTATTAATAATAAATTCTCTCCACGAATAGATAAAAAACAAGTAAGGAAGGGCTAAGTTCGGGTGTCACCGAACATTTTATACTCTATCATGATAAAGTGATAATCGAGATTTCAGGCGTGGTTGTGAACCGATTTCACCCATATTTGGTACATGTCATCACGGTGTTAAGAAAATATTATATACCGAATTTCATTGAAATCGGTTGAGTACTTCCTGAGATATGGTTTTTGGTCCATAAGTGGGCGACGCCACGCCCATTTTCAAAAAAAAAACTGGATGCAGCTTCCTTCTGAAATTCCTTCCGTAAAATTTAGTGTTTCTGACGTTTTATGTTAGTCGGTTAACGCACTTTTAGTGATTTTCAACATAACCTTTGTATGGGAGGTGGGCGTGGTTATTGTCCGACTTCTTCCATTTTTGAACTGTATATGGAAATGTCTAAAAGAAACGACTCTGTACAGTTTGGTTGCCATAGCTGTAGTAGTTTTCGAGATATGTACAAAAAAGTTAGTAGGCGCCGGGGCCACGCCCACTTTTCCAAAAAAATTACGTCCAAATAYGCCCCTCCCTAGTGCGATCCTTTGTGCCAAATTTCATTTTAATATCTTTATTTACGGCTTAGTTATGACATTTTATAGGTTTTCGGTTTCCGCCATTTTGTGGGCGTGGCAGTGGGCCGATTTTGCCCATCTTCGAACTTAACCTTCTTATGGAGCCAAGAAATACGTGTAGCAAGTTTCATCATGATATCTCAATTTTTACTCAAGTTACAGCTTGCACGGACGGACGGACAGATAGACATCCGGATTTCAACTCTACTCGTCACCCTGATCACTTTGGTATATATAACCCTATATCTGACTCTTTTAGTTTTWGGACTTACAAACAACCGTTATGTGAACAAAACTATAATACTCTCTTAAGCAACTTTGTTGCGAGAGTATAAAAAGATGGTGAACGTGCATGGAAGCTTGAACACATACCCTCCTGGAGCGTTCTTGGTCATATATACTCACATATATACATTTACATATTTGTGTACGAGTATATTGTATATAAAAAAGATATTTACTTATATTGTCACTTGAAAACGAAAGCAAAACACAGGCTAATACAAAAACTAATAGAGAGGAAACCCATATTTCAAATGCAGCACATTTTGCGGTTCTCATTGTACATATGCTCTCATATATATTTACATAAGCGTATATATCAACACATACGGCAGTTAGACACTGTATTGTACGAGTATATAGAAAAAATGAGCTCACACGAAGAGAGCGTAATCTTTGGAAAACAAGTTTTAAGCATGTGTACCCCAACAAAATTTGTCTCGAATAGATTATTACAGTTTTAGCCATAAAGTTTTAGTTTTCAACATTGTAAGAAATTATATCCAATTATGTATGTATGTAAAAAAAGTTGAAATAATCGATTTCGTTACGAATCGATCTAGCTAGATATTCATCGAACTATCAAACAGTCTATATTTCAAAGGTAAGCACTCCCGAGTAGAAATATCGAGTAAATTACCCAACAAGTCGTTTAATTGTTTCTAAAATATTTAATTTTTCAGACGCTCCTTGGAACCCAACATGCAAGATCGGGGCTATGTATCTCATATACCACACTAAAGGCATAAAATATACGAAGTTTGCCAATAACCCTGACAAAATGTTACACTCGTATATAGATATTTATCAGCATCTAAAGAAGCTCCCATAAGTTAGGTCAGATAAATATGCCGATTTCTGGAGAGACCACGAATAATCCCACTTGGACAGCTGCAGACGCCAGTCCGTTGTAATGCTAAGAACTCCTAGGTATTTATGAAATCGCCGAATTCGCAGCTAATATGACAACTGGGATGCTTCAACCTTGTCTCTGGCGATAATTGGGAGTGAAGTGGAAAGTATCGAGATGTTTCCACTTCCTCTTCCTTATTGCAACTTTTACAAGTGCGGACCCCAAAAACTTTAGCTTCGTGCAGGGAGTGCTAAAGGCACAGTCCACCGTTAGGGCACCTTTCAGTGCGGCGATACGAGCCTTGCTAAGTACTAGCAGTACCATTAACGTTCCACTCTGGGACGGAAGGCCTCCCAAGTGCTGTTTGCTGACTAACCCTAGCTGAGCTCCCTCGAGGTCCATCGCTCCAACACCCGAGTACACGAAGACAGGGGAACCCCTGCTCGTTCCCATAACGATGGAATTTAGATAAGGGTGTCTTTTCTTGCAAGCTCATCGGCTTTAAAATTTCCGTTATGGTAATGGAAGTAGCTTACTGCTAGAGAGGTCATGCACTCCATGACAAGCTTTGAGTTCACTGTCAGCGAGCTCAAGACCTGTGTAGCAGTTTTGCTATTGGAGTGGATACAATGTGGAGAAAAAACTCTCTGCACCTCTTCTCGATCGACTCCATTCCAAGCAGCTCCGCCTGCATACTCATTCAACGTTCCTTCCCAAGACAGACGGGTATAATAACCGGAACGGACACGGATTATTATCCGGACAAGAACTGCCAATTCGGCATATTTCTACAAAATTGCCTTAGGAATGTTTCGGCCGATGCAATAATGTACATATAGATATGTAGCAGACATAAATATATATTAGCAACATTTTTTGTCATAAGCGCCTAGGTTATATGTACGTAGACACCCGAGAAATCGAAAGAAGTTAAAATAAAAACATTTGACACTCCATTGAATCACTCAAACCGGTTCGGTTCCGCTCGAACTATGGTGTACCTTACGCTTTATTGTTTATTTTAGATATCGTCGTGTGTATTCCACTGTCCACATATATTTGTATACAACGTTCACCTCCTCTTCTATCAGCTGACAATTATCGCTCTCAGTGACAAAGTATTACGTAGTCACACAAAACACACTCAACAAACGTCAAGTCATTAGGAAATAGTAAATATATTATTTCACTGCAATAAAAACTGAACAACATGCGGCTGCCAGCGCTTAGTTTGCTCTCGGCTTTCCGCCAAACACTAGTGCAACAAGTACAAAATACGAGTGTAACACCTCTCCTACTAAAACAATATCGTCTGAAGCATTTTCACAGTGGCAGTAAAATGGTTTCGCCGACACCATTTACAAAAGATTTCTTCTTCCGTCAGGTGAGTGTGAAATAACAAAAAGTGATAATTCTTCAATGAAAACTAAACGTTTAAAATAATTTGGAACAGCTTTTCGATGAGGCTACCTGGACCTACACATACCTACTGGCTGATTTGAGTACGAGAGAGGCGGTGATTATTGATCCAGTGCTGGAAAAGGCGAAACGTGATGCAAACCTAGTTAAGGATCTGGGTTTTACACTTAAATATGCCCGTGAGTATGAATACAAGATTTCTATTGTTCTATTTTTTTTTTTTTTGTTGTTGATCGGTGATGTTGTAATTGTTGTTATCTTTAATTAGTTTTTAACGTGTAGACAACGTAATTTTATAGCACCGTGATGAAATCTTCGGCTCCAAATAGATTTGAAAGTTTAGTGATGAAAATGTGCTTACCGCACGCTGTGCATAGTAGATGTATGTATGTATGTAGTATAGAAGATTATCTAGATGTAGACTCATCGGAGACAAATGGTTATGTACATTTCAGTATAGAAAAACAAAATTCTTCATATTACACTTATCAACAATTAGTAATAATTGAATATGAGAATAGAGCGCTTAATTGTAGGTGATGTTAATAGACTTTGTTCAGGCAAGGCAATTGTTGTTGTGGAAAAAACAATTATATGATATATTAATTATATTGAAAAGTAACACCTTATCTAGCAAAACCCGCATTGCATTGTTTTGTTTTTATTAGTACTAATATTAATTGCAAGCATTGTTTACTACCTGCATTTCCTGTAATGTTCTCAAGAAAAATATTGCATGCTTGAAAGAGTCTACCGTGATATCAAATTTTAAAATAAATATTCGCACAGTTTTGAGAAGCTTAAATGTAAGCGTGTCTTTTGTAATAGGATCAATACCTATTGATTGTTCGATAAATCGATCAATATTATTCAACGATACGACTTTAGGTTTAAATAATGAGCTCAGAGATTTAATAACAATAAGGTGATCCATTTCGAGGTTCCCTATTTTTGTTTAGGAAAAACTATAGAAGCTCCTAATTTAATGGGGATTATTTATTATCATTCGACAGAACGTTCTTTGCATTTATGTTTTGAAGATTATATCTATCAAATGTTGGCGTATACGTCTTAGATGGTCCATCCGTTGAGTCCAATTTTCAATGATTCGTTTCAGCATTTCACTGGTAACTGCCAAATGTCACACGTAATGTTTTGCTTCAAGACCTGTTCGCATAGACTTTAGATTTTACATATCTCCACAGGAAAAAGTCAAACGATATGAAATCACTCGATCTGGGTGGACAATCGACCGGCCCAAAACGTGAAATTATCTGCTCACCGCAATGTTTTCTCAATTTATCCATTGATTGGCAAACATACCCAAACCGTTGTCTTTTCTAAATGAAAAGGCAGCTCTTGAATCTGAAGCAGGTAGCTCATCGTCCCAAATATGGCGATTTGGCTTGTTTACAACAGCTAAATAGCTGAACAAAATTTGGCACGAAAACGTCGGATCTACTTGGAACTTTTCAAGAACTCATAGCGCAAAACGATGTCGCTTTGGCGGCTTCAGTTCTTGCACAAGCTGTATTTTGTATGCTTTCAATTTAAGAACTCGACTTGAAATGCGCCAAATCGTTCCATAGTCAATCCGAATTGCTGCGAACGGCACCGAATTGACTCTCCACTGTCTTTGTGTACAATCTCAGTTACCATATTTTCTTCCCTGTGCACTGGACGTGATCTATTCGATCTAATATTATCCAATAATGAATGCTGGGTCTCAAGATGCGTGATGCTGGTGCGTATAGTACTCTAGTTGGCCAATTATGTTGACCACTTTACAGCACCTGAATTTTCGTAATAAAGTTGAACGATTTGTAAATGTTATTGAGCCGTAAGTATTTTCATAATGAAATGCCAAACAATACTGAACAAAAATAACAACATAGCTTGGCACGACTCACGCGTGATTTTTCCAAAAACGGCTATTGAAAAAACATATCATCGCTTGGATCACGCTTTACTAGAAAGGTAGCTGTGCTCCCAAAACTTAAGGGCTCAATAACAATTGTTTTGATTCTTCGTAATATCATTGTAATATTCCCATCAGCGCCTAGTTCCCCTAGTCTAATAAGAAAACAGAAAAACAGACACTTTCAAAAATTTACGTAATTAATTTTACATTAAAACTATAATCTTGAAACATACAAATAATGTATAGTTCTCGTCAGAGATAGACATTCCGGCAGTCGTCGATGAATGACTGAAATGGTATTGGGAAACCGAAGCAAAAAGCAAGAAATATAGTATTCATGTATATGTTATTATAAGTCGAATAGACATACCCAACGTATGTCCTGCATGCAACGAGTCTCCGCATGACACTGACCACCTTTTTGCATGCCCAACCAACCCCACCCATCTAACACCCTTTTCCCTCTGGTCCGACCCCGTCGAAACAGCACGTTTCCTGGGCCTCCCGTTAGATGACATCGACGACAACACAGATGGCTATCACCATCCCAACGGGGACTGATAACCGTTAAAAAAACAACAACAAATTCTAAGTATATTTCGACTCTAACTGACTTAGAGCTCAGCGTATTTTAGAAAGCTAAAATATTTTTACTGTCAGTATCACCATTATTTTTATCGATTTATTTTGATGCACACTATTTTTTCAAAATTGTGAAATTCCTTTAAGATTTTTATTACATTTAATCGGCTTTTTTATTAGATAGATGTATTGAGGGTCTTCACAATCTCTTTTTTGAAAATATAATTTTTTTAAGTCAGTGATCATTTATGAGCATTTCAGTTTAACTAAGCGTCGGCATTGGTGTTGGTATAATAATATTGAGTTCTCTCAAATCAAAATTATCTTAATTTGTAAGAGTTTTAGTTTCAACATATATCTTTACGTATATGTTTAAGTATATAATTCACAATTGTCGAATCATTACTTACGGCAATGGGTTTATTATTGATGAACGATTTTCAAATGTATTCAAATTTTTTTACCTTGAAATTGGCATATCCATTAGAGCAAATTATATTCATCAATCAATTGGTGTCACGAAAGCACGAAAACGAGAAATGTCAGCTTTAAAAATATTTAATGGTTAGTTTCGGGGTGATTTAGGGATGGGGTAGAATTGTAAAAAGCGAAGTTGGTTTGGAAATACAACAAAAGTTATAAACTGATTTGAGTAATTCATAATTAAGTGCATACATTCTGTCTTGATGATACATAAGGTAGCTTTAAATATCATATAGCTCAAATTTTATTAGAATATAAGTTAGACTTCACCAATAGCAACCAATTGGTCAAAACAATACAGCAAACAAATTAGTTATCAATCACTCAAAACCCCACTACATAACATATTTACACATCTAACATTTCCATATACATATAGTGAACACACACATGCACGCGGATCACATCACCGGCAGCGGTTGGCTCAAGCAATTGTTGCCCGGCAGCAAAACAGTTATTGCCAAAGCTAGCGGTGCCAAGGCAGATATACACATCAACGAAGGTGATCCCGTTACATTTGGACGTCACCGTATCGACACATTGTCCACACCGGGACACACCAATGGCTGTATGTCGTATGTGATACATGAACAGGGTTGTATTTTCACGGGCGATACAGTGCTGATACGCGGCTGTGGACGTACCGACTTCCAGGAAGGTGATCCTGCCCACTTGTATGAAAATGTCCATAGTAAAATATTTTCTTTACCTGAGAATTTCCGCATTTATCCGGCGCATGATTACAAGTGAGTCGGCTAAACGCAAATTACTTAAGAAAATATCGTGAAAAAATATAAACTCTTTATAATATTTTAGAGGCATAATGGAGAGCAGCGTTTGGGAAGAGAAAACCTACAATCCACGCTTGACCAAAACCAAAGAGGAATTTATTAATATTATGAATAACTTGAAACTGCCTTACCCCAAGAAAATCGGTACTTTGCACTTGTTTTATTAATTTTTGTAAGGAAAACTAATTCTTTTTCGTTTTTCAGATGTTTCCCTACCAGCAAATCGTGAATGTGGCGTCTACGATATTCCAAAAGAGTAATTTGTGTTCTTGTTTCGGTTAAAAAGCAAACTGTGTTTTATACGCTGCTGAAGTGTGGCCTTACTTTCTTATAAAGCAGAGAATCACAGAGTCATGCTAGACTCAAGTAATCGGAAGAGCCTTTGCTGTTAGTCAGGCAGCAAACTTTGTAAACGTTTCTTCAAAAAAAAAAAATACTTTTATGTAAACGATATATTGTATTAATATGCTTAAATATATTTTAAATAAAATTCTAAAACTATTGGCGCAAATATCATAAAGTTCTGGAATCTAGGAAAAGTGTCGGGAATGATTTTCCAAAGGTTTGTATCTGAATCAAAACCTTTGATATTATTTTAAGAGTGAGTTTGTAGTTTTCGAAATTACATTTGTATAAGGTTTAATACTAAATATGTAAGATTTGATTAAGGTTTAAATGGTTGGATTTTGAGGTTAAGAGGATACATGAGTTTCCGCGGTTAAAGAACCGAAGTTTTTTCCTCATATAAAAACTGAAATATTTCATTCGAATTTTTTACTGTTACAAACATACACCATTAGCAAAGAAATTCTGAAATTTTTGGAAAAAATATTTAAACTCGGCCATTGCGATGCTTTTTCCGGTTTCTCCCGGAAAAAACATGAGTTCGCGTAGGCAAGATAACTCCTAACGGGGTCATCTAAGGGGCAAAAAGTTTGGTTAAAACCTAACCTAGAAATTAGGCGTTGAAAACAAAAGAGAAATTGGATTTTTGGAGATTTCAAAATAATGAAAATTTCGCGAAGTTTTTTTTCTAATAGTTGTAATCGAAAAACAACAAAAATCCTTCATCCAAGTCTTTAAGAATTGTATCTCAAAGACCTGTGTAAAATTTCATGAATATCGATTAAGTAGTTCTCGAGAAATCTTGCCAACCGACTTCAAAAACACACTTTCGAGAAAAACGCGTTTAAAGATGGCGCACTTAGCCTAGCTAGTCTCGAAAGCACAGGTTCTCAAGGTTATATCCCCGAAACTGTGAATCAAATCAACTTGAAAATTTAGGAAAATATTTTTGAGATGTTGTAGAATATAAAAAGATAAAAAAAATAGATTTTTTGAAACCCGTAAACCAATGTAACCCCTTAAGGACGGTATGGCTCAAAGTTTAAAGTTATTGCCAATTTGTCATTTCCTTATCAGATACGAAAATCGGGTTGAACGGTCAAGAACTGCGACAAAGAGTTTGAAAGGCTAAACAGTTGAAATAATTATGCACTACTTTATTTTATAGCTAAATATTTGAGTCAACGGTTATACGGCTATCAGAAAATAAAGTGTAATTTATCAGAAACTTGTTCAAAGCTGGAGCCCAAGCTATGGATTTCTGGTTCTATATTTAAGAACATTCATCAAATAACTTATTATACTAATTTATTTTCTTTCTACTAGTCGCTTTGTTATGATCTGAATATTTGAAACACAATCTTTATATTTTCTCACATTCTAGTTCAGAAAAAAACACCAAAACGCCGAACACAATATTTTTCATTCAAAAACAACTAAGATTTCAAATAATAATAAAAAAATTATAACCTCGATTTTAATTTTCACATTTTTTTTCACTTTTAGACAATTTTAAATCACCGTTCCAACAAATACAGCACCCATAACGATAATAAAAATGTCGACACGAAAATGTCCGATGCCGAGGCAAACCTCATTAATAGCGCACAAACGCAAACCGCCACAACGGGACGCCGACGTAAAGTGTCCTCGCTGGGCGGTACACTTTCCGCGCGTTCGTGTCGCAGTGAAACGAAGGAACTACGCTCGGCACTGCAAGATCGCGAGGCAGTTATACAAAATCTACGTATACAATTGTGTTTGGGCAAATTGCCACGCCCTAGCGGACCGCCACTCGATGACAGCGAAAAGCCGGCGGCCGAACAAAAACTACAAAGGTTAAAAGCCGAAGCAGAGAATAAGAAAATCAAAATCAAGAACTTAAAAAGTGCGCTGGAGAAACTCGATATTACAGAGTAAGTTTAAGGAGTTGATAAACTGAGATATATTGCGATAAAATTGTATAATTTTTTACCAACATAACACTTTTTCTTTATAACTTTACAGTAATATCGATATACGCATACGGCAGGCGGAATTAGAGTACGCGCTGGGACGTGAGGAACTGCAGATGCTATCGATTGTGGAAGAGGCGCGCGCCTTGCAAGCGCGTTTGGAGAAATCAAAGCCGGAATTACAAACCATTTACAAGTAACATCAGCTACCTAGTCTCCAATAACAACAATTTACTAATATTTCAAAATATCTGTAGCATTCTCAATTCTGGCGCCACGCTAAGCTTACACGCCGTACATGCGACCACCGGCCGCTGGGCCGCGCACACCAAACCCGATCAGCCCGGTTTCTATGTGGAATGGGCGCTCGAAGGTGATGGACTCTACAAAGGTGATCGCATACTCGAGGTCAATGGCAAAATGATCGCCTGTCGCACCAAAGAGGAACTCCAGAAAGTCATCGGCAATTCGGGAAAATGTCAAATAGTGGTGCTGCGCAAGAAATGTGCGCCAATACCACAAAAACAACTAGATCAGGAGAAGGAGAACAATATGCGTCTACAGCATCGCATATCCTATCTCGAGGAGCAAGTGCGTGAGTTGCAAACGGCGAAGGAGCAACCACAACAACAGCAACCTCAAGCTATGCCGCAGACGCCCCAAAACCAGCCCACGGCAGCGCATATAAATAACGGTACGAATAGTCATGTGACTAGCATCAGCATATCATCGCCGCCTTCGACGCCGCCCGATAACAAACCGCTTATCTTTCAACGTGGCAATTACATTACAACGCTAGTTGGTGGCAAGCCAATTGAATTGATCGGTGAGAATAATACGCAAAATGCGTTGAGCAAAAGCAACTCTGTGGCGCATGTCACTAAAACACTCATCAAGGAGAATACACAATTGGATCTGCATCAAGAGCGTACACCGCGTGCCTGCGCGCCGCCTGCCTACACCTGCATGCCACCGAAGTCCTTGTCCGCCTCCAAGATCTCGATCAACAGCGACTCTGCGTACATGCAACACACCCATTATCGTCGCAGCGAGAAAGAGCGGCATGCGCGCGAACGTGAGCGTGAGCGTTATGAGCGTTCAACGAGCAAAGCGAGCGCGCTACAGCATCGCGCGAATATGCATGCGCGCAGCGTCGAGCATTTGAATCACTATAATGGGTATATGCTGATTTTCAAACTGTTATATAATTCCAAATTTTTTCTAATAAAAATTTTATTTATCTCTCATTTTCCGCGCACAGCATGGAACGTCGTCGCGATTGTTCTGCCACAGCGAATACGCAATCGCGTGTGCCAGCCGACATGCGCAGCGTCAAGTCGCTGGATTTCGATAGTGATAATGAGTCCAAACCGATCAGTGATACCATTTCCGAAGTGCGCGCTGTTCGACCTACACCGCCAAAGAAACCGCTGCGTTTATCGCTGCAACGCGCGCAAAGTCTGCAAACTGTCGAATTGACCCCCAACTGCGATGCGGAACGAAAGCGTCCCATGAAACGAGCACACATCAACGACAAGTCACCAGCCGATCGTGAGACTGCGATGCTCTTTGAGAATTGTAACCCGCTGCAAACGGCGTCGCTGGGTAGGCCGCGTGCGAATATATGAAAATTGCTGAATGTTCTCTTTAAGCGTAACGAAGAGACACATTACTAGTAAGCGGGTGGGGAGGGAGGCTTAACCATTTAATTTATAAGCCAAGTAGCTATCGAAAAATAATCAAGAAATTATTTTAAACGGATGCGTGCAAGTTTTATATCAATTTTTGAAAGAAAAAATTGTTTACCTAATATTTAAAATTATTGCAATGTTTACAATTATGTACTTAGGGAAGCTAGGGTGTGCTAAATTATATAAATGCTTTACTTAATCGTATATACACATATTTATAAATTTGCAAATATTTATTAATTAATTAGCAATGATATTTGTTTTTTGAACACATTTAAATTGTACAAAATAATGTTTTTAGCACAACTGTGTAATAACAAAAATATCTGTCTCTTATACACATCTAGATGTGTATAAGAGACAGATATAAATGCTTTACTTAATCGTATATACACATATTTATAAATTTGCAAATATTTATTAATTAATTAGCAATGATATTTGTTTTTTGAACACATTTAAATTGTACAAAATAATGTTTTTAGCACAACTGTGTAATAACAAAAATATTTTAAATGTAAATACACAATAAAATCACAAACAAAACTTAAAATTTTATTATTATATCCTGTACAGTGTATATTATGTTTGCCACGAAGTTTTTAACACCCTGAAGGAAACTTCAGAAATTGATCAGTGTGTCGATCACATATAACTGCCACATAAACTGTATGCTCAAAATCAAGATGAAGTTTTTTTTTTTATAATTTTTCTATAAAAAATGCACTTGTGAAGGGTATTTTAGCTTCAGTGCAGCCGAAATTAACGTTTTTCTGATCTTGCAATATGTTGCTACAGTGTTTGTGCTACTGTTTTGTTCATCTAACGGTTGTAGGTATGGCCTAAAACTAATCGAAATAGAAAAAAATATATGTATATAAACTGTGACCAAAAAGCACTCGGAGATTGTAATTAAATTGACCGGGTAAATGATTTTTCAAAAAACTGTATCTCGCTCAGTTGGTAGGACTGTCCTTAATTACGGTGCCAAATATGAGTGCGATCTGTGAACCAGGTTGTTGGCAACAGCGGTTAACTCGGTACACATCAGTAGTGCGTTGCGATTTTTACAATCGATAAAAATATCGAACAAAGAATTTCTGTCAAGTTTTGTATTTCTAACCAAATTTCGTGTGCGGAATCGCTGCGAATGTAAGAACAAGCTATTAAGTTTTATCAAAAACACAAGCTCACAACGGGACAACGGCCACAAAGAAGGTCGAGAGACCTCTTCAAAAATCTGATTGTAACTCCAGTGGGCGAATTCAAAAAAAAAACCACACCTGCTTCCCATATTTTTAAATACTATCTGATTCTTTCACTTTCCAGTACAGAA